AATAATGATATAATAAACTTTATCTATACAGCACTTTTCATAAAAAAGTTGCAAGATGCTTTACAAAGTTAAAGGTTCAGTGTGTAGAATTTAGAGACATCTAGTGGTGAAGTTGTTTGTTGCAGCTGAGTACCCCTTACCTCACCCTCTCCTTCGAATAATGAAGGAGAACCAGAATATTTTATATTCACTTTACCTAAATCTTACACACTGGACCTTTAAAACAAGATAAATGATGACAGGGTGTTGTGATTTCACGCAAACATTACATATTTTTTTGCAGGGGAAGTGCAGCTCTGCTATGTCTGACTTGACGGCTGCTGCCCAGCCGGCCGGAGAGGAAATAGGGGAGGGAGGAGAGAGAGAAGGAGGGAGGAGAGAGAGAGAGAAAGAGGGAGGAGAGAGGGAGGCAGCAGGGACTCGGTAACCTGCGGGAACACTCATCTGGTCCTGCAGCAGAGACGCTCTCCAGACCTCCCTCCCCACCGGCAGCTCACCTCCGTTCTCCTCCGGCTCCTTTACAAACACTCTCCCGTTGTTTGCATCCCTCCGCCCGCAGCCCCAGCGTCGGTCGCACTCGGGCCGGTCGAAGCAGCGCCATGGCTCGGGAGAACGGAGACGCCGGCAGAGGAGAGACGTGGAAGAAACAAGTGGACGACATCAAGAAGAGGTTTGACTTCAAGGAGCTGCTCGGCACGTGAGTACACGGGGGGGTTCGGACTCACTTCACCCGGGGTACATCTCTGTGGGGGTAATCCCTCTGACTGTACTGGGACCTCACTGCACTTGTTGGCTGTGTTGCAGTATTTTCTGTGGTAGTACCACGACATGTACCTCAGTGCTACACGCTTCTTGTTCTCCAGCCGTGTTGTGTCAGCAGCGGTGGGTGGAGGGTTTCTACCTCCGCTGTCTGTGCTGCTGTTGTGTGATCAGCATCATCTTTAATGAAGTGTGTGATCTGGATATTCCTGAGTAGACATGTATGATCACTGTCAGTCATTCATTCAGCAAAGTGTCAGTGTTATCAACACTGTATCTCATTCATTCATTTCGCCAACAATTTAAATGGGTTATTAATTTAGATTCTGTGACAATTCAATTATCGACAATCTTTTTCTTTTAGCATAAGCTAGCAATTTCCACTTGCTACCTACTATAAGAATTTGCAAACCATTTGAACGCATTATTCAATACTTCCAGGGTTATCTTACTATTTAAACTTATTTATGAAATATAGGATTAGCTATTCTAACGTATAATTTGATATTTTAACAGTAGCTAACTATTTTGACATATTCAATACTCAATTTCAATGTATCATTCAATACGTTTTGTTGTAGCTAGCTCTTAGACCTTGTTATATGTGACTTTAAGAGTTAGCTAACCGTTTGTTGTCCTTTACTTTTAGCTTTAGCTAAATATTTGAACTTGTTCATCATTACTTTTAGTGGTAGCCTACTGTTTTTAACTTATTATTCATTGCTTGTGGCATTAACGAACCATTTGAACCAGTCAGCCATTACTTTTAGCATATTTAATCATTTACTATCTATTTCTGCTATCTATTTTGTTTATGCATAACCTTTAGCTAGCAGGGCTTATTTATACATTTTGCTGTCAAGTTTAACATGTATCGAGCACTTTGAGCCAATTATATCAACTTGGCTATGTACTAACTTTTTGCCAAATTGATTATTTTAACCATTTATCCATTAGTTTTATTTATTTCAATTGTTTTTCCATTATTTTAACTGACTATTTGAATTATAACACACTTTCAAGTGTTTATTTCAGCCATCATAACGTCGGATCTTTTTAAAATAAGTCATTTTTTGTTGTTGTTTAATCCCTGGTATAGCCACAGTATAAAATCCTAATATTTTCTCAATTGATACATGGGGTGATAATATGTTTAGTATTTCTCCATGAACTCAGTCGGCTTATAAACGGCTCTGGTTGTGTTCCTCTGATCTCTAATGCCATGATTAATATTCAACACCCCATAAACCGCTGACAGTCAGTGACTGTCTGTTTTTCTGCTGTGAGGAATGAGCTGCGTCTGGTTGGACTGCATCCCAGAGGGTTGGGGGGGGGGGGATTAACTATGCAGGGATTAGGAGAACTTCCCCTAAATAAGAGGAAGTTCAGTCACAAGATGGGACATGAAGCTGGAGGGGCTTGGACCGGATATGAAACTCTCAGACAGACACGCTTTGGATGCAGACTGGTACAAGACTCGATGATCCGAGTCGGCCATGTTGCAGCCACACATTAACCAGAGCTGCTGACGGATCTTTGAACCTGATGCATCAGCAGAAGGGGTCTCGCTCTCTCTCTCGCTCGCTCTCTCTCTCTCTCTATGTGTGTGTGTGTGGTGAAGGTGGAATGAGGAAGAGGAAGAGGAGAGATGGTTACAGAGCTTAAATTAGCCACAAATGAAAGCTTTGATCACCTTCATGAGACAAAGAACAGAAATAAAAGCGTCATAGAACCAATCCAAATTTTGTTGCTGTGCAAAAAGTGCCCTCTGATGGGATGATCTGCCCGTATGAAATTGCCAGCAACAACATTAACACAAACTGAGATACAGAGCTGCGTGTTTGCAGGGTGGACAAGTCACTTTAATAAGCAGAAGCGTTGTGTTCAGGTGCAGCAACACATGTGGGAAATCTTGAATTTAAAATGAATCTGAGTGGTACTGCTGCTTTGAATTTTCTGTGTCACATTCTGTGCAATCTGTGCTGAGAGGATGCAGTGTCACAAATCCGACACTGATTCAAAATGTTTTGTCTCATCCACTGGCCAGTCAATGTGTGTGTGTGTGTGTGCAATTCATCACCTCTTCCTACATCTGGCATGTACAATTTTTGGTCCCCTAACACAGGATTAATCTCACAGGTCTTAAGTCTTGTGTGTGTTTGTGTGTGTGTGTGTGTGAGAATGCGGCTCTCCTCAGTGTCTTATTACCCTCCCCTGGTGTATATTCTGTCTGTGTCCCTGTTACTCACCATTCAATAATTCAATACCAACAGGAGTGCGTGTGTGTACGTGCATGCTTGTGTGCCTCAGGTATGCAGCTCTCAGCTGGAGGGAATTGAAAATCACAGGGAAAAATGTCCTTGTGAGCAATTTTTAGGTACCTGAAAAGGACTCAACACAGTGTGTGCTAAACTTCGAATTGGCTCCATATTTAGTACTCTGGATTCAGTTTAGGTGTCCAGATGAAGTCAGATGAAAGCCTAACCTCAGGGAGGCCTATACTCAGGCAAAGAGTGTTTGAGCAGAAAGTAAAGTGGTGGCGAGGATGGTAATGCATTGTGGGAATGTCACTGTACCATCTAGGGCACGCTGCCCTTAATTGATGCTCCACTTCCCTGCTGCTGGCACTGTTCTCGTCACTGTCTCTGGGACTGCACAGCCCCCCCTCCAGCTCCTCTTTCTATATCTTGCTCTTTATGTCATACATGTCCCCAAGTGTCCCTGTGTTCAACTCCAACAAGCTTTCCCTTTTTTCACTGTGCAAGCTGATTTTGAAAGTTTCTTTTCTTTTAACACTGTCATATTCAGCGTCTTATAAATAGAACTAAAGATTGTTGTTTGCTGTGTGACAAAACCTCATGGACTGTAGCCGTGTGTGTGTGTGTGTGTGTGTGTGTGTGTGTGTGTGTGTGTGTGT